AGGATTTACATTTCATGTTGAAACTTTGTTCTAAACGGATTTCTGTGAAGCTGCTTTGTGACAACATCAGTTGTAAAAAGCGCTATACAAATAAATTTGATTTGATTTGATTTGATTCAGTCAGTCAGTGTAAAATAAACATAACCATCCAAAATGAGGGAATCAATGTTTGGAATTATTTGCAATCAATTCAATAATACAAAAACAAAAAGCATTTTGTGAAAATAAATGTATAAAGTGATTTTAATATGATGCTAATACTCTGTAACTCTGTAAAGTTATTTATAACTTTTTTAAATTGTTAAATAATTAGAAAGAAAAAGTAAAATAGTACCAAATTCCAGATTTGTTCAGATTTCAAATAATGCTATAAAATATTAAGAATTAAACCTTAATAACATTAATATCCAGAATGAAGTTCTAATAAAATTAATAGGCAGCATAAAGTTTAAGAAAAAATAAAAAATATATGTATTCAGAATGAAGTTGTAATAGAATTAATATCCAAGATGTATTTATAAAAAAGGACCATCTAGAATAAATTCATAATAAAACTAGTACACTGAATGAAGTAATAATGTAATAATGAAATTAATATATAGGCTGAAGTTCTAATTAAAATTAATACCCAGAAAGAAATTACAATAAAATGAATATCCAGAAGGAAATTCTAATAAGATTACTATCCAGAATGAAGTTCCACTAAAATTAATATTCAGAAGGAAATTCTAATACGATTAATGTCCAGAATGAAGTTCTAATAAAATTCTTGTCCAGAATGAAATTATAATAAATCTAATATCAAGAATGAAGTTCCAATAAAATTAATAACTGTGAAAAAATCAATACCAGAATGTATTTCAAAAGTGGTGATTAAATCTCTGATAACTTCACAAGAAAGGACTGTAAATATATAATTACAACACATTATTTAATGATAATTAATCATTATTCCAAATTACCTGAAATATGGAATAAAACGTCAAATGCCTTCTGGAATCTAGTTTGTAATATCTACAATTTCCAATCTACATTTATAAGTTATTATTGTGCACGCAAATACAACAGTTATGAATATGAGAAGTGATTCCACACTTTTGAACAGTCTTATTGTACAGAAAAGAGTTAATATCAGCAGAAACAAATATGAAAGAGGATCTATTACACTAAAGAAAGAGAAAGTATGAAGAAATGCTGTGGTAAGAGAAAGAGAGGGAGAGTGAGGGAGAGTGAGGGAGAGTGAGGGAGAGTGAGTCAGTGAAGCTAAAAAGCTGCTGAAATCCAAAACAGTCCCGTGAGCATTACTCAGCATCCAGTACTGACCAGAGAAAGCACTCAGAGCACTCAGAGTCCGGTCAGTCTCTGCTTAGCTCTGCACCAACACAACAGCCTCATACTGACATCAGCTGAGATTTCACACCCAGACTTAGCAGCTCACTGAACCGACAACACTGCATCTTCACAGTACAAAGAACACCAGTAATACAAGTGGGTGAAATCATCATATCATTATCATAATAAATAATATAGATATCTTGTATATGTATATATTAAATAGGAGGTTTTGTTACTGTGCCTTTAAGACTGATATATGTAATTGACCTCTGTTCTGATTGGCTGCCCTGTGTATATATATATATATATATATATATATATATATATATATATGTACAATTTTTTCTGTTAAAATTTTTCCGTTCCACCTTAAATGGTGCAGCAGTTACATTCTGGCACGTCAGGCACCAGTTAAGGTGGAATGGGAAACTTTGAACAAGAAGCTGGTGAATGAGAAGCAACTTCAGTCTCATGAAAAAATCGAATGTTGAGAGACATTTTGCAAGAAACTATTCTAATTTGCGGAAAAGTTTCCTCCCGAAGATGCGAGAAAAGCAGCTATATCTGAGCTAAAGCTTAAAGCAGAGCAATGTAAGTCTGTGTTTTTGTTTATATTATAATTATTAGCCTACACTAGCACATTAGCACATACTGAGACATATTTACAGGCAAGACAGTAAAATGGACATAAAATGTTGTGGCTCCCAAGGTGGTTGGAGTTTTGCTGAAAGGACAAAATGGCTCTTCTTAACATTTGGGTTGTCGAAATATAACATGATATGTGTCATGTACTGTGAAAATGTGATACGCTTTTTCTATATTTTTGCCATTTCATTATTTACTGAAAATTTTTTATTAAACACATTTCATAACATTTCATCATACTGTATGTTGTTGCCATTTTTAGAAAACAATAAGCCACTCGAGGCCATGTTTTACAGTGATTTAACTTGTGCAAAGGGTTTTTAACAAGTGTGGCTTATTGCTTTATCAAATTACAGTTCAAATTTATTTGTTTTCTGATCAATTCTAAAGAAAACATCCTTTTTCTATATTAAGATAATTGAAAAATGCCATTTTCATGTTTCAAATACTAACATCATATCCAGAATAATGAACCTAATATGGAACAAATGGCGACAAACCCAACTATTGAAAGGTAAATGTCAGTATTCCAGTTGGTTTCAAATGTCTTTACATTCAAAACTACAAAAACAAAAGAGCTCTAATGACCAAAGACGCTAAGTCACGTTACTGTAAGTAGGTGACTAATAGCTGAGTCACTGCACATTCAGCTGATTCAAAACCACATCGCTTAATCATATTAGTAGTTTTCTATGCACAAGCAGTTTTAAAATCTGCAGATGGACACAGTGCCTCGCATGTGATGGGAAGTTGAGAAGATCATGTTCTTCATGGATGAGCTGTGAACGCATGTCTTGTGAGTGAACGTTTGTTAAGCATGAAGGAAAAATCAGGCCTCTCAGTGGAAGATAAGTTACAGTATCTTTCTTTTTTCCCCACTTCCAGATCAATACAATATACTTATTCAGGACAAATGTTCTCCATCGATAATCCCATTAGAGCAGTAATGGCACTGGCTGTTCTCGCATAATCAGACAGGAATGGGCTTTTTCAGTGTGTTTGTAGTTAAAATTAAATTACACTGTGTTATAATATATAATTTAGAGGTGCAGATAATGGGAGAACAGAAAAGAACATAAAAAACAATGCTAACTAGGCCTCTATAGCTTCTATTATATGCTAGCCATTATAAGCTTTGAGCATAGAGCCCTGGGCTGGAGAGAACCTTAACTAAGGGCAGGCTAACCATTTAATGAGGATTAAAAAGCCTCAGGGAAAATAGCTTCATGGGAAATCAATGGGGGTAATCTGTCCATCCAAAGCATAGCT